CTAAAAATCCCATAGTAACCGGCCACATTCCCTCCCATCTTTTCCCTACCTTTTTTTTTTATTTTCCTCCACTTTATTACTCAAATAAAGCTAATCATTTAAGACCCCATTCATTTCTATTTTATTAGCCAATAAAGGGGCTAATAAAAAACCACAAATTGACTAAGAAAAGGGAAGGGTGTGGCCGGCCCTTCCTTGGTGAAAAATGGGGAAGCCTAATCCTATAAATAGCTCCTATTCTCACCAAAAATTCATTCCAACCTCTTTGCAAAAATTCCAAAACACTCTAAACCTATTTCTCTCTAAATTTCTAACTTTGGCATCGGAGGTTTCTTCGGCCAAAGCCCCCCCCATTCATCGTGGGCGCGTGAGGCTTTTGGCCTTAACCTAAGGTGCTAGTTGTTTTGTAGGTGCAAAATCGTCCAAGATCGAAGAGGAGAAAATTTGCATCCACACATTTCTTCTTCAAAATGGAAACAAATCTCTTCAGATTAGGGATCACAATGCCATCTGTAGCAAGTAATCATTCAGCAATGAGGAAACTTCCATTCAAGGATTCTAACGTGTCTAAGTGCATCGTGTTCTCCTATGCTAACTATAATCTCTTCAGAAAATGCATTGTGATTTCTTTCCATAAACGCTATAAAACGGGCCTTGATACGTTTCCAGAAATGCACAAACCTTGCAACATAGTTATTTTCCTAATCGAGTATAATCTCATACAATGGATACAAAGATACCTATGATCACTATATAAATATGGCCCTATAGGCTCATAATGCTACCATCAGGAAGTTTAGGAGAGCAGAATTTCACTACTAATTAGATACCACATACTCCTCCAAGGAAAAATGACGAAGACTTGTGCGATAATAGTGTGCTTCCTTCTCATCCTTGGTATATCCTCATTTGATCAAACTTCAAACATCTTCGATAATGTGCATAAAGTTTTGTTATTAAATATTTAGAATCAATAATATATATGTGTGTATGTGTGTGTGTGTGATGTGTGATGTCTAGGTGGAGATATATACATATGTAAGGGTGATATATTAGTATTGGATTGCATATATAATGTTATTGGACATGGATGTCGATGCAGGTTTGCAAGATGGAGCTAAAAGTAGAGAACTGGAACCTGCAAAGAATGCTGATCTCCTATCCTCGTCTGCGTTGGCATCCCTGTCTCCGGCACCCTATCATTTGGAATGCATAAGCGAAGAACAATGCTATGAGTATCAGTGTGAGGATCCTCACTGCATCATGCATTGTGTGCAGGCAACTTGTCAATGCTCTTGCGGAAAATAATCAGTTGAGCTCCTTTCTTGATCCATTCAGATATGAAAAATAAGTGCATTTCAAGACATGTATAAGTGAAATTCATAGAGAAATATGTCCTCGTGATGATATTATCAATGAAGTTACACTTCAAATTTTCATTTTAATTAAGGTTTTATATTTGTACTTGGTTCTACACTCGCAAATCTCTCACGCACCAAGCCGTAAGCTTCAAGTCACCTAATAAACTATAACGATAAAAAATTTATAAGGCTTGGGGTTTACTACTTGAAAACTTTCTTCAGCAAACACCGAAAATTGATTGTGCTTCAAACTGAAAACCCTTTCAATGTGGTTGGCAAGATTTTAGTTTTTTAGCTCAATATTGGTTCAAAATCGAAAAAACTCTGAACTTGCAATCATTCTACCCTTACTTTTTACAATTCTCCTTTTAATGCCACTTGCAAATCTCTCATATGCCGAGAAACAAATATTTACTTCACCCAAAATAAACTATGACAAAATTTTTAAAAATGCATCAAACTGAATGCGCTCAATTTTACACTTGCTTAATTATTAATTTCGTAATCGTAAAAACTCTAAACCAACGGAATGAGTTTTAATTCCACACGTTTTCCAAAATTTGGGGTAAAAAAAGCAGATAATATTTCATTTTTCTTAAGCCATAAGAAAGTTGTATATAGTAGCCAAAATACGGCATGGGTTGGTGAACCGACTTCAATGTATCTACACTAGCTCTGGTTTCGGCTTTTAGGTGCCGAATACAACTGCGACAGGGAGGCGGAATCAACCACAACCAACCAAACCCGTCCCTCCCTCACTCATAGTAGAAGATTTTTCTATTATTTTATTTCGGGAACATAATCAGTATACAAAGTATCATAATACCAAATACTAAGACCATCTCCAAACCTGGGTTAAAAGCCAAATTATCCCCCAAATTACCCCCCCCCAAACACTCTCCAACCCATGTTAAAATTTTAGGCTAAATGCCAAATGTTATTTCTGGGCCAAATACCCCCCAGCTTTCCCCCCGGGCTAAATGTCAAATGTTTATCGGAATTTAAATTTTTTTAGATTAAAATGTTCATAAAATTAATTTACAATAATCTACATATTTAAAAAAAATTGATTTAAGAAAAAAATTAGCCTAAGTTTATTTTTTAATAATTTCAGGCTAAAATTTTATAGCAGAAGGATTGGAGCAGAAAATATGTTTCTGAGCTAAAAGCCAAATTTTCCAGGCTAAAAAATTTGGCTTTTAGCCCAAGGGTTGGAGATGGTCTAAATGGCTAAAATTAAAATGAAATATATCGGTTGAAAATTATTATAATAATTCGGTACACCGAGTATAATAATAACAATGAAATATATCGGTTAAAAATTAAAATAAATTAAAATGTAAAATTGTTACATAAGCTATCAATTTTAAATTTAACATGAAAAGCTAAAAAAAAAAAAAAAGAAAAAAAAAAGCCACCTTGCCAGATGCATGATTTTCCTTAACCTTTTTGTCATTCACACAATCATGTTATTTATGTGAATTTTCCAGGCTGTCTCCTATCATAATTCCAATTCTTATAATTTAATTTTGAGATTTGAAAGTGTTTACGGTGCTTTTTGTTGGAACACAAAGTGAAAATATTGTTTATAATTTTTTTGTCAAATGATAAATTTTATTAAATTAAATGTTAAATTAATTATAAAAAAGAATTAAACAAACACCGTAAGGCAAGAATTCAATACTTTTTTACAACTATAGGAAAAAGCTATATTGATAACAATTATAAAATAACAAGAATTATATATTGACATCTCACAATATGTCTAATTACTATACTTTTTGAATCTACAGGGATGTATTCAATTGAAAATTTGAGATATTTAATGGATTTTTATGGAGATTAACAGATTTGTGATGATTCTATGTAAAATTTTGATTCAATTCTCTCGAAATCTCATGAGCAGATGTGAGATTTGTATATACTTAAAATACACTACAAAATCTCTCCAATTTCCTCTAATTCCTCAACTTTTCCAAATTCTTTAAATTCTAATTCTAATTGAATACACCTGGAATGTTATAAACTTTTTTAAAATTCTAATTGAATACACCCGGATTTCTAAGGATTTTAATAAACTATCTTAAAATCCTAATTGAATACACATTGAATTTAAGAGAATCAATTAAAATCCTGATTGAATACTAAAAGAATTAAAACCTCTTACAATCTGAATTGAATACACCTCCTACATTTACGTAATATAATTTAAATTAAATAATAACATCTCTGACGACATTATGATGGAGAAAATGGCCGATCAATCGTATTAATATTGATATTGGACGGTCTAATTCTGTCACGTTTCACCGTTCCTTCGCCCTTTTTTATTAAATTATTAATATTCCTCCCTCTGACCTTGTCAATAATTCTTCCGTCTTAAGATTCTTAATAACGTCTCTCTCTCCTCGTTCATAATCTTATCCCCACTCCTCCTCGCTCCGCTTCACAAAAAATCTCTCGATTCCTCCTCGCACAGGTACTAAAATCTCTCCTTCTCCCACAATTTTTTTTTTATATATTTTTTTATTTTTTTTGTTGGTGATTTTCTGTTTGGTAGCTGAGAAAATTAAGGAGGAAAAATGAAAGAAAACAGATGGGAGAATCCAGAATCCGCTTCGTTTGGTTCCGAAAAATTAGTTTCCAAAAACGCGGATCCTCCGGACGCTGATGGTTTTTTGTTATTAGCCGAAGGGCTAGCTGTTTTTTTTTTTTTTTTTTGAGTGTGGGAACCGGAAATTGGATTTTTCTTTTTCCTTCATTTGGTTTCTCAGCAACCAAACAGCTTATTAATTATTTAATCCTCCAGTTTTTCAAATTAATTTAACGGAAAACCGTTTGAGATTTTTCGTCAAATTTTTTATAATAAACCGTTTGAGATTTTTCGTCAAATTTGTTATAATATTTTTGTCCTCTCGATCGCAGATCAGTTTTCGGAAATCGATTCTCTTCGGCGGAGAAGACGACGATCTGAACTGATTGCATCCTATCGGCGAATTTGAGAAAAACAAGATCTTGAGGCGGAAATTGAATAATTGATTGACTGTAGACATGGCGGAAGAGCACAGATGCGAAGCCCCAGAAGGCCACCACCTCTGCGCAAACAACTGCGGGTTCTTCGGCAGCCCGGCCACCATGAACCTCTGCTCCAAATGCTACAGAGATTTCTGCCTCAAGGAGCAGCAGGAGGCCTCGATTAAATCCACCGTCGAAGCCTCCCTCTCCGCCTCCGCCGCCTCCGCCGCCGCCGCTTCTCCTCCTTGTTCTCCGCCTTCAACATCCTTGCCTTCTTCTGCGGCAGCGATCGAGACTCAATGTCAGCCTCCGCCTCCGGCGTTGACTTTGCCGGAGGTAGTCGGAGATATAATCAAAGATCCCGCCGGAGATCTCCGGGCTCGTGAGGTGGCTGAGGTGGTGTCGCAGCCAAACCGGTGCACCGTTTGCAGGAAACGGGTCGGGTTAACCGGCTTCAAGTGCAGGTGCGGGACCACGTTCTGCGGCGTCCACAGGTACCCCGAGAAGCACGCGTGTTCGTTCGATTTCAAGACGCTCGGGAGGGAGGAGATCGCCAGGAGCAACCCCCTGGTCATAGCCGAGAAGCTCGAGAAGATTTGATCCGGGCCGTCAGATCTCAATACATTTGCCAACGTACAAATCCGTGACCGGCGGATTGCAATCAATCTGGCCGTCGGCGGAGCCACGCGGAACCGTCGATCTTATCAGGGCCGTTCATCGGGCACGCGTGGGAATTAAGCTGATATAAATATTTTCTATTCCCCTAGGTTTTTAATTTAATTTTATATTAGTTTTTGCAAATAATTATTGTGGGATTTGGTTTGTAAGTCCAAAAAAAAAAAAAAAAAAAAAAAACGAAAAATATCTTTGCTTGGGAGTGAAATTTCGGGTCCAATTTCTCGTCACGGTGCGTCTTGCTTTCGATTGATTTGGATGTATGCGTTTTGTTGCAAGAGAGTATAAAGTTGTGTTGACAAAGCAAGTCGTAACAAATAACCTTGTAGGGTATGGTTTGATGTTGGCTTGCTTCAAAGGGAAAATTAGTGCGCTTTTAGAAAGGTATTTTTAGTTAAAATGATTCGTGAGATTGACAAAGCTCTTTATTTTGATCGCTAATACTGAATATTAATAGAATCAGATCCTAAGTCTGTCTATCGTAAATCATTTTACTTATTCTGAGAAAGTCTTTGTTAAATGAAAAGGCAAGTGAAGGAAAATACTCAATTTAACGGAGATTTTTACGAAACGACAAAAATAATTAACTGTAGATGAACTCTTAGACTACTTCTGTCGATTTTCAATCTCAACAACCAAAGTGAGGAGTTATGCTAATCACAATGATCATGTTTGCTAAAATGCTTTTTTAGAAAAGAGAAATGATTTGAGGCTACTTGTCACGAATTTAGGGTTTTTCGCTCATGCTCGCTCTTCCACAAGCTCGAGCTCCTCCTAGGATCAAACAGGACTATATGTTCTCACCTTTACAAGGATTTGAGGGTTCTTTGTGTGTTTGCTTTCGACTGAGGACTGAAATTGTTGCAATTGTGATGTGGGAGCTTTCTTTGGATTTGGATGTTTATCTCCTTTCCACGGTGATACGAAGAATGAGTTTGAGTTTTAGCCTTCTGTGGTGGTTCTCTTAGATTTTTCGGTGGCAAGTGATCCATCTTTTAGGTTTTTTAGACTTTTCTTCGTGCCCACTTTTGAAAGAGAAACTCTTTTGAAACCAAGATTGTTTTAACGACGTCATTTGTCTAATAGACGTAACGTGTTCAAAAAGTAAACCGCTTGAGTGAACGACCAATTCTTGCATGGTTGCAGAAAGAACTCTGTTGAGTTTCAGGCAATTTTTGGATGTTCAAAATGTTAAAAACAACCACTTGCTAGCGTTTATTTTGGAAAACAAAGACAAGGCACTAGTAAATTATGGAAGTACTTCTGAAATGACAAGCATTTTTAAGAAAATATTTTTTGTTCCAAAAACACTAGAAGTTGCAGGCACTTCACGTATTTTTTAAAAATTCACTTGCATATTTATCAAATATTAGTTCCAAAAATATTTTATCTAAAAACAATTTCAATCATGTTAAATTCACTCCAAACCGAAATTTTAGTACGATCATATATTTACTTGTCACATCATGTTTCGTTGGAAAAGGAAAGACTAACAAAGATTAAGTTAAAAATTGGCATGATTTTGGTCTTTATTTGTAAGTCAAGTTACCGAACCACTCAACCAGCCTGCTTTGTTTGGATTATCAATTAACCCATTTGTCGTATGTTTGGGTATAATATATTGTTGACATCACCAATACTTTTGTTTTTTTTTTATTCAAACGATAGCATTTGTGGGTTAAATTATTAGTTGTTATAAGAAAGATGATCGGTAGTGATCGAACCAGTATCAGAATGCTTAAGCATGATTATTTTCTGTCACTGCGGTAAAGTGTCATCTACACCAATGCTAGCTTCTGAGTTGTGGTTTCTTTTATGGGTGTCAAATTAGCAAATAGGTTATTTACCTTATTTTTCATCAGTGCAAATTTTAAACTACTCTAATTTATATGGATATTGATTTGAATTTATGTGTAAGGAGTCATGCTCATGATCCCAACCAACTACCTCGACTCACATATATAAATTTGCTTATTTTGCAAACGATTTTAGGAATGACAAGATTAATTAATTACAGCAGTTCGTTTTCAAACAGAAAAATCACAATTCACAATCCAAGACAAAACATAATCTGATGTTTAATTTCCACTAACTTGTTTTATACAAAGCATCCAATACAAAAACATGATAATAAACGAAGAACTCAAAGGTAATAATCCACACCTTGCACTTAATTATCAAAGAATAATTTATAAACATATGCACTCAGAAACCTTGTAACTTCCAATCTTTGTTAGCTAAAAAAACAACAAGACTAAGGTATTGTAAACTTTGTGTGTGACATGTGACCTATAATTCATCGTTAACAGATGATGAACCCACCTTCTGGCTCCCAGATTTCATGCATGTTTTGGAGCTGCTCAAACTTTCTAACCAGACCTGGTCTTTTACAACGGAGTTTGATTCGTTGTTTCGATGCCATCCCCAAAATGCATGTGTTTCGTTTAATACTCTGAGCCTTCCGTGTCCAAAACTCGGCTCTCTGTACAAAGACAGAGGGGAAGCCGGATTTTCGAACCTATATGTATAAAGATGGTTGAAAGTTTGGTTATAATCTTTAGGGAAATTAGAGGACTCCAAACTTAGGTGCAAGGAGACGAGCACATTGACATAACACTATAATATAGCTTGAACTAAAATAAAGAATACTTACTTTAATGCTAGTCCTTCGCGATTTCCACCGTCACCAATGGTCATATACACTGGACCACATGGATCAGCTTCATTGTTGTAAACCCTAGTCTGCAACATTAACAACGTTAGAAACCCTAGTTTGCATGCATCAGTCGTTAACAAAGTTAATCATAAAATACAATATTAGCCAGTCGTTAATGTTAACTAATTTGCACGTAAGGAATCAAATTAAGCCAACTTACAAATCGTTCATACGCATGAACATGCCCCGCAAAAACCACATCCACCCTTGCATTGTACAGCAACTCTTCCATTGCTTTCCTCATACTCTCCCCTTCACCTTTGTGGGCAGAATTGGTATTATACCACGGTGCATGCAGAAGCACAACAATCCACGGCGTCACCTTCCTATCAATCTTTGCCAAATCAGCCTGAAGCCACTTGTACTGATCTGACTTAGCATCAAAATCAGCATAGGATCCCAGCATGATGACGTGGGTCCCGGCAACTTCAAAAGAGTAGTACAAGTTTGAGGTGGACCCACTCTCTTGGTAGGGCATCGGCCACCTGGCATTGTAGGCCTTGAAGCCAGTAGGGTTGATGATTGGGATGCTCTCGACTTCATGGTTGCCTTCTGTGACCATCCAAGGGCGTTTGCTGGCGTAGGGCTCGACAATGCGGCCGAAGGAGTCCCAAAGCGGTTGCTGTGTATCGGCGTATGACAAGTCACCGGGGAGGAGAAGCACATCGTAGTCCATGCTTCCGATGTGTTGTAGGGTTGAGTTAGTCCATTCAGTCTGACCTAGGTCACCTGAAACCAATATGTGAACATATGAGCAATGTTACATACACCAAACTTCGATCTTATAACAAATTAATGTAACAGCTGCTCGACCTTGATATTCTAGGGCGATCCGGCAAACCATTAAGTTAACAATTTCGAGCCAGAATTGATGTAGTTAATATGTATGCATATAAATTGGGTGTTTAAGGCAATTGCAGTATTGGGTTCCTTCAGGTTGGCTTTGGACTTGTCAACTTTCAAACCAAATCGAAGACCAGATGCACACTCATTTTGGGTTATTCTCAAATGTTTTATACAAACGGCTAGTTTAAGTGACATGGATTAGATCGGAATTGCTCCTATAATGAATCTAAATTCGAATTCCCCTTCGCGTAGTTTATATTACTTTAATATAGAATTTCGTTGTTGCTCAAAGAAAAGGTAAAGGTTTTTCTATTTTCTTCAAGACAACTAGGCTTTCTACAAGATTATGAGGTCTAAGACCTAGTTTGGGAGTGAGGTGCTTAAAAAAAAAACACCTATGAAAAAAAGCTGTTAGGGTTTTAGGTGTTTGGTAAACTGAAAAAAAAGGGCTTATTTTGGAAGCTGCTGTGAGAATAAGCTGAAATCAAAGGAAAAAGCTGAAGCTGCTATTTGCAGCTTTGGAAAACTGGCTTTTTTTCAAAGCACACGGGGCTACAGTGCTCCTTTAATGAAAAGACCCACTATCAGACTGCTTTTTTTTCCAAAAGCACTTTTACAAAAAAGTTTACCAAACGCTCTGCTGATTTATTTCACAGCCGCTTATTCTCACAGTACAGCCGCTTATTCTTACAACAGTTTTTTTTCAAAGCACAACAATACCAAACCAGCCCTAAGGTGAATGAGGAGAATATTCTCTTAGCAACTCCAGGCCTATCCAATTGTCAAGGGAATTGGGCAGTTTAACCCCCCCCCCCCCCAAAAACCCAAAAAACACCAACTTCAACCCAGCCCAAAAAGTCGGGCAGATTGTGGGTCCAAGGTTTCCAGACCAAGCCATCAGGCAATTCCTGTCCTTGTGTGCGGCTAAAGTCCAATTAACGCTAGGCAGACGTTAATCACGTCAATTTTTTTTTTGTATTAGGCGTGTGCACTTCACGCGCAAGTATTAGGTGCATCAACCGACCAAAACAGGTTGGTGAGGCCCAACCACACTCTTCCACAAAAAGTATAATTTCGGATAATAACATATATTGTTATGGGATTAGTTAAAATTTTTATTCGAAATTAAACATAATATTACCACTATTAAAAAAATAATTTTTTAATATCAATCTTAGGCAATTCATCTATGGGGTGAAGATGCACTCAGACAATTATTATTCACTAAGGCAATCATTTCCTATTGCCCAATCATTTGGAGAATTATTGCCGGTGGAGTTGCTCTCAGGCAAAGATTTCTTCAAAGCCACACACACAGATAATATATGACTCCAAAACATATTAATCCTTCAGAGCCATACAATCACAAGGCTAAGAAAATTGAAGCTCAAGCTAAGCTTTTGGTCCCAAATCTCTGATTATATATATTGTTCGACTTAGGCAAAACACATTCTTCTTATGAGAGAGTTGATTAATTGGAAGATAAATAGGTACGGCTGCAGCTGATTCAGGATGACCCCAACCATGTATAATATTCATCCTTTACCAAGACTAATGTTTTCTTTGATATAGATAAAGGTTTATTTACAATTAGATATCACATAATTAAAAGAGGTTGGCTGAAATGATGATTGTACAAATCTCAATTGTTGAATTGAATAATTCAAAACAACGACTGGTCAAATTTTAATGACGTTACCGATTAAATATTAACAATATATCGACAAAAATCCTAAAAAATAATTATTTCAACAATGAGATTTTTGTTTTCATCATTTCAACCGGTTTCCCTAATTAATTTACTAACCATGAAACAGTTAAATGGTCTTTAGCCAACCCAAGGTTGCAGAATCAAGCAGAGGACCTCTAAAATTAAAATGAAATAGAAATATAGACTTGCAAACACATGCAAGCTGATGTGTTTTTTTTTTTTTCAAAAGCAAGCTGATATGTTGTTTCTGATAGGAATAGTGTATATATATATATATATATATATATATATATATAAGAACTGTAATATACTCCTGATATAATATGGATTCTTTGATGGTTTCCTATGATGATTCTAATAGGAGAGTGACTAGTATTGGTCTATTAATAAATAGTGATCCCAAAAAATACGCTCATTATTGGATCAAAGGCGCCTATTGTTTGGTTGAGCACTATGTATCTAAGATAGAGAAGAAGCTTACTATTAAAGTCGATGTGACTTCATCTTTTTCGATTTTTAAAGGTCAGATTATTTCTTACGGTTTTTAATTGGGTTTTTGCGAGGTTTAGTTCAATAAGCAAGGTCTGCTGCAGAAAGTTTGCTAAAATTGCAAATTTTCCTAACGAGAGTTGTACACTCATCTCCAACATTTGTTGTCATTCCAATTAGACTTAAAGCAACTATATATAACCAACTCTATCATACCCCCAACAAACATAAAACATAATATTCAATCTAATTTCAGAAAGACGTTCATGGAGTTCATTTCATGTGAACAGATACTAATCTCCAAGCAAAGTTATTGACCCATAAATTTCTTGCGAGAGGGAAATTTGACAATCTGACAATGTAAGTTATCTTTGAAAAAAAAAAACCGTTATTTAACTTACCGGCCACTGCAAATTCAAGGGGAAGTTTTTGTGGGGGTGTCTTGAAGGAGAACTCGGGGCCTGAACCTCCACACCTATAGAAGTATGTAGTGGCAGGTTCCAAGGGACCAATGGTAACATGGTGGATCTTCCCAGAGCTGTAGAGAAAGTACTTGTATGATGTGTGTTCTCCAGTTGCCTTCCCATTATACATCCCAGATTCCTTTCCATACTCCACAATTGATTTAACATGCTTGCTTTCAGTAACCCATGAAACTCTCATATGATCTTTTCCCACCAGTGAAATATGCACCTAATAAAATAGTTAAGAAAATAATCAACAAGAAATTATAATAGTCGGGTGTGAATTGATTTTCCAAGCTCAAAACTATAGCATGTTTCGGTCGCTTTCCCCATTACTTGGAAAAAGTGAGCTACCGTTTCAGATACAAGATACTAACATTACTGTCCGGACAATAAGACGTACATTATATAAACTGTTAGACTACTCATAAACTGTACCTGTTGAGGGTCCTCATCCGAACTAGTGTGGTGGGTGAATATTACTCCGCGAGGAGGTTGTCGAACATAATCATCATCTTGTGATTTTATGAGTTGAGGGAAGAGACAGATGACTAGGAGGAGAGAGAACACATGAAGATATAATTTCTCCATTTTTGTTCTGTGAGAGCTATTGGATACATATATTTTCAGAGCCTTGGAGAGATATATAAGAGGGTTGAGGGGGTTTGGAAAATGGATAAAATAATAAGATTCCAATGGCGTGAAGTAAGTATATATATGTTTGAAGGGGTCTTGGCAATACTTACAGCAAAGCCACCGACGTTCTAACTAGGATTCTCAGTCTTTATATCTATATGATAGTTCTATCTGGCATAATATTAGTAATGCAGATTAGGTTTTGCTTGGCTCTAATCTTAATTAACTTGGGTAATATCATTAGTTTATTGATTATTTGAAGTAAGACCAAACCTAATCACGTGGGCTTGTAACAAACAAGATATTAAAGTCGGGCCGGCTGTAGACTCAAGGGGCACACCCTACGCATGACATTTGATAAATGATTATACGCAGTAACAGATAAGAACATGTCCCGTGCATGGAATATAGGAGTTTGTTTTACCCACACCAAAAAGTAAAAATAGAAAGAAAGAAAAAATGGTGGGCATGTAAACATTATGCTTTAAGAGTCCCAGATTCAAAAGTATTTCATGACGTTAATTTGCTGCTTTTCTAACTTGATAGGTAACTTGTCTGCAACAAATTCTCTTCATGCCGTGCAGATACATTTTATTTCCAAGCACTCAATCAATTTTGAAAAGTAGTCACAGAACTTGTCAACTTAATGGATATCTCTGTTGAAAATACCTTCTTGTACTATAATTATTCAACAGATCATAATGTACTATAATGCTCTATATTATGGACGACGAAATTTAACCAGACGAATTCCTTTCATTTGGAAAGAGATTATTTTTATAGTCATGCTATAATATGCAGAATGATAACATCATATAGCAGTCTTTCAAATACACACATATACCTCAAAATGTTTCCCTCTCTTTGTAGGGTTTGACATGGAATGCTTTTAAAGCTAAAATTTAATACATATTATATTTTTGTATGCTATATAATGTAGACCGTTAATTTGAAAATTGATTTTCATTTGAACGAATGGTTCAAATTAATAAGATTTTAAATATTTGAAAATATAACATTATTCATCAATGAGAATCTAAACAGTTGTATAATATCACTCATCGAGAGGAGTCTAAACATTTGTAGAAGCCGAGCCAATTTGTGGTGGGGATTTGGGCGGTCCCAACCTTCTGAAAAATGAGTGTTATTTGTCCTTTGTCTTGTTGATTTCTCTGTCGAAGACTCAGGCAGGTGAAAGAGATACATTTGTTCGTGAATCAGATGGAACTCAATTTTTTTTTTTTTTTTTGTCGAATATTGAACTCAGTTAACAAATTACTTCATCTCGAGCATAATGCATGGTTACAAGTTATATCAGAATATCCCAGGAATCTACTTTTGAGATGAAGAATCTAGGGTTTGGAATATTCTTCTTCTTTTTAATTATTATGTTTTTTGGTCGAACTAAAAAACCCATATTATATTATTTATTCTATTATTCATGGTGGACTGTCAATTTTCTCAACAATAATAGCTGGTCGTAAACCAGAGGGAGATAAAAACTCTTTTCATGATTAATAAAGAATGCGCAGTGCAATTATATGGTCGTTTCTTAAGATATAATTTATGTGGTATTTAATTTTTATAGGTTGCAATTAACCAATATTTAAGAACATGTTCATATGTTGACTTCGCTGAAAGCAAATTTTCAAAGATGACTATTATATTGACAATATATTGATCATACGTGCAAATAATCACAATATATAAGTAACTGATGATTATTATTATTGTAAATTATTTATTGTTCTTGAAGAACGATTCTTATGTACACGTTCAGACTAACAAACGATAGTGTGGATGTGTCAAAGGCACAAGTTCACATTAGAAAATCAAGTCGCATTTATGATGCATAAACCTGTTATACACAAAATTATTTATTGGTCTTAAAGAACGATTCTTATTTTTACTTCACACATACTTTTTTAATTTTTGACCGTCGGATCGAATGAATTGAAGTAGATCAACGGATAGAAATTATCAAAATATATATGAGAAGTAAAATGAGATGTGTGATGCAAACGAGGCCTTTATGAGGCATATAATGCAAGAAACACATGTGGAAGTCAGGATAACTTCACTTCATGCACAAGTACTCTCACTATGTCAAGAATGGGACAATACTTGGACACTGACTAGTGTCCAATTTTACTGACTCGCAATAAAAAAATGACACTTGTCCTTTTTAATTCTATCTCAGATTATGGCCATCTTCATAACCAAACACCTCCTATTTCCCCATAGCTTCTGCAATGGAGATCTGGGCAAATCCTCAACTCCTCCAACTTCTGCCTCCGTCGACCACATCCACGTTTCCTCATCCTTCTCTCCTCCGTCGAACCCGCCCCCAATCCACTATCTTTTTCCCGACACAACCATGGGCAGAAAGGAGAGAAAGCGGCTACTCCGCTACCAGTAATTAAGCAGTTGCATACGTGCTGCCATGGCAGAGGAGAGAGTTGGGTATGAGTAGGCAGGGTTGGGTTCGTTGAAGGAGAGAGATTGATGGAGAAAATTCGGGTTAAATTTGACATGGACGGGGACGAGATCTGCGGCATGGGACGGAGGAGAGAGGAACTGTTTGGTTATAGGTGTAAGGTTAAAGTTGGTTGCTTGGTTATAGGTATAGAGAGAGTTTTAAATGACAGATGGCTTGATTTGATTGGGGTAAATGGTAAAGTTAGTATATTATTGGATCCTCACTTGTCGTTAAAAATATATATATATATATATATACACACACACGCATTTCTATTTTGGTTACTATATATATTTTGCTTGTATGTGGCCAAGCACAATTCACGAATAAAGAGCCAATTAGTTTGGTATTGGTCACCAAGTCCATCCTCTTCAACGTTCCTCCCTCTCTTTGCTTTATCTTCTTCAACGTCCCTAAACTAGCTTGGGGATCCTATTTCCATATCAACTCAAGATATGCTTATTGGGCTCTATGTCTTAACGAGTGGAAATCGTCGAGGTATTTGTGCAAATAGGTATAATCCATGCTCCAGTCAATAGCTAGGTGGAAAGTTAAGAAAGATCTCGACCAGTTAATTCCTCACACCTCTAACAATGTCGTGACCTTTGTTGTAACTAGTTCTAGAGTTCAGAGTTTATTTATTTTGAACTGAATCATGCATGCAGAACCAGGGTCGTCTTTAAGATTTCGAGGACTCTATGCGAAATTTATAAAAAGGCTCCTACTTAAGATGGTTTTTCAGAAAAAAGTAGAACAATGTATTGATGATAGAAAACAATAACTTAAACCAAAAATAAACTTTTGAGTGTAAGTTTACAAATGTCATTAAATAATAAGTAAAAAGAACTATGAAAATAACCTTCACTAAATAGTTGAAAGCATTTCAAGCTTACTCAACCAAACAAGAAAAAACTTTCAAGAAACTCTAAATTTAAAGTTTCATCTTGAATATGTAGTATTATTTTATAATAAAGAGAATTACTATTGACACTTTAAAAATCTCAATTAGCACTCCAAAATTTCTATAATTAAACAGAAAAAATACACTTGTGAGTAGTGTAGAATGAGATTTTTGGAGTGCTAATAACAATTCTCTTAATAAATTAAAAAATATATTGTTTTTTAGGGTGTTGTTATTGCCATTGACACTCCAAATATCTCATTGTGCACTCCAAATGTTTATGTTTAAAAAAAAATTTGCACTTGTAAGCAATGCACAATAAGATTTTAAAGTGCTAATAAAAGCAATTTTTTTTTAGTACATCAATATTTTTACACTAGGGAAAGGGAGAGTTCGGTTAAGCCACACAATGGAGAACCTAATTTAGTATCGAATTCGTCATCCACGAGATTCGAACCTAAGACCTCTCACTTCCAAGTGAAGAAGAATACCACCAGACCGTAGTACTAAGTGGCAAAAGTAATTTTTTTTAATATATAGCATTACCACATATAAATATTGATAGTGAAGATGAATATCCTAAAGCATATACGTTAATAGGTTTTAAATAATAATTAACTGACTAATTATATGCATGATGTAGTTATGTGTGGGGAAAGTAGTACGTATCAACGTCAATGAAAATTCAACCGGCAGCCAGCTTCTACCATTGATCACCTCTCATGTGACCCAGATTCATTCACTACGCTACGCTGATCAGATGGAAGCTAGGTACGTTTGGGTATACAATTATAATACATCACAGAATCCATATTTATCAGCGGATCAATTCTGAAAAATATATGAATTTTGGTTCTTTAGCTGCTGATGCGGATCGTGCTCAAAAGTACCCCGCGGCTTTAGACTTATAGCCTCTCTAAGCTTTGAGATATTAGTTTTGTTTGATCTCTAAGATTGGATGAACATAGATAATATACTATATTCGAGGTATTATCAAAGAGAATAATCGCTGGCAAGATCATTGAAACACCGCCTATTAGAACAGAAGATCAGTTAGACGATATAATCATAATTAAATCGCTAGTCATGTATTTACTAGGTTCCTATCAAAGTGGGCATGTGCGATATATATGTATCAACTTTAAGAGGAGTGTTGACCTTTATATATTTAGGATTCCTAGTTATAAAATTATCATTATGATTAATTTTATTTTCTTTATTGTCCGGAATTGTATTACCTTGTATTATATAAATATCACCTCTTTATGAAATCCAATTTGACTGTAAGATTTTAGACATATGAAAAGATAACATTGCTCATCAAGAAGAATCTAAACATTTGTCGAAGCGAGCCAATTTGTGGTGAGTCATTACTAGGTTTAGTTAGAATGCTGGGGATTTTGGCGGTCCCAACCTTTTGAAAAATGAGTGTCCTTTGTTTTGTCTCGATCGAAGATTCGGGCGTGTCAAACAGATACATGTGTTTTTAGTCACATCGAACTCAATTAACAAATTACTTCATCTCGAGCATAATGCATGGATACAAGTAATATCAGCATATACCAGGAATCTAATTTTGAGAAGAAAAATTTAGAGTTTGGAATGCTAAAGGGATCAACAAAGGCCAAACCCGTATTTCTTCTTTCTTTTTAGGGATTTTTTTTTAAATATCATATGAACTTATGTACTTTTACCAATTTGTCATATGAATTAAAACTTTAAGCAATTTGTCAT